TATTATTGAAGACAATGCCATCCATTGTCATTATTACATTATTATTGAAGACAGTATCATCTATTGTTATTATTACATTATTATTAAATACAATGCCATCCATTGTTATTATTATATTATTATTAAAAACAATTCCATCTATTGTCGTTATTATATTATTATTGAAGACAATGCTATCTATTGTCATTATTATAGTATTATTGAAGACAATTCTATCTATTGTTATTATTATATTATTATTAAAGACAATGCCATCTATTGTGAGTATTACATTATTATTAAATACAATGCCATCTATTGTTACTATTACATTATTATTGAATACAATGCCATCCATTGTCATTATTACATTATTATTCAAGACAATGTCATCTATTGTTATTATTATATTATTATTGAAGACAATGCCATCCATTGTCATTATTACATTATTATCAAAGACAATGTCATCTATTGTTATTATCATATTATTAAAGGCAATGTCAGCTATTGTTATTATTACATTATTATTGAAGACAATGCCATCCATTGTTATTATTACATTATGATTACATCATCATCACATACTACCAGAGCGTGTGTTTTTACACGCTGTTATTAAACTCACTCTGTTGTTATTGTCACATCTCCAAATCTTGTAACTCAATTGTAACCCACTTCCCAATGTGGTATCGACTGGAAACTTGGTATACTTAGGTCATACCAATGACAATACTATATTCTATCGTAAAAAAAAATGAAGCAATATTTTTAAACACTCTTTTTTTATAGGAATAGGTTTTACCCTTTGAACTGGCACAAAAAAACTGACACCTTTATTCAAGGCATCGTGTTTGCAATAACCACAACACAAGCAGTCAAAATGCAAACAAAAGAGACAACTCTGATAATAATATTGGCACTGTCCTTGAATTTGATTGGTCCACACCCGAGACGGCTTTTCTTAGAGCCCTTAAGTCTCCATTGGTGTTGGACCAGAAGACGCCAAAAGGCGTACAACTCAAAAACAGCGCACTATCAGAGTATTGAGGGCTCGGGGTGAGCATTTACATTAATATGTTATGTTTCATTAAAGCGTGTTTTTTGTTAAAGAGATTTTTAAATATTACTTATTGTTTCCAATGTTCGTCACAAGTAGCGCGCGTGTGTGGTTAATCCAAGACAGGATTCCCTTTAAAAAAAAAAAAGAAAATTGATTCTGTTTGGTGTTTTAACATTTTAATACAGTCGCGTTAGGTGCCGTCCATAAATGACGTCACGCGATTTTTGACCCCCCACCCTCCTCCTCGTCACGCGGCGTCACAAAAAGTCAGACCCCCCCCCCCACCCTCAAATATGACGTCACAAAGCTCTGCCCCCCCATCCCCCAAAAATAAAACATGCTTCTAATCGCTTTAAACTATCGTCATTGTAGTGCGATTTTAATGTGGCGCTGATGTTGCAGGAGAAAACATTTACTTAAAAAAAAATCGATTTCATTAAGCAGAACGTGTTGTCTGTATTTATTTATAAAGTTGCGCGATTTGATGTGACGTCACATTTCTCAACCCCCCTCCCCCCCACCGTGACACATCGTCACAAATGTCTGACCCCACCCTAGTTGCGTGACGTCATTTATGGACGGCCCCTTATTAAAAAAAGTATATTTAATTAAATAGAACGTTTTGTCTATATTCAAAGTTGCGCATTGTGACGTGACGTCACATTTCTCAAACCTCTCCCTCATTGTCACACATCGTCACAAATCTCTGACCCCCTCCCCCCACCCCCACCCTAGTTGTGTGACGTCATTTATGGACGGCCCCTTATCTGTCATACGCCGGTTTTGTTTTAACGGCAGGGCAGCTGTGATGAGGACGCGTCACCCAGGGCCACGGCTTCTTCCTCCTAAAACAAAAACAAAAATCAGCTGGGAACGCCAGGGAAAGGCGTTTGCTGCTGATTTTCGGGTTCTTTTTTGTGCTTTTGTTACGTTTTTTATTTCTCCTGTTCCGTTCCCCGCCGCCGTGCCTCCTTATTAGCGCGGTTGGCTACGTACGGTGGGAAAGAAGTTCAGCACAGCACAGTTGGCTACGTACGGTGCGATAGAAGTTCAACACACACACAGCACGGTTAGCTACGTACGGTGGGAAAGAAGTTCAACACACACAGCACGGTTGGCTACGTACGGTGCAAAAAAAGTTAAACATAAGGCAGTCCTCAAACTTACAAACTGGTGACCCGTGTTCGATTCCCCAATCACGACCAACACCATTGACGATTATCCGAATGGGTGCTGGGCCTCCCCTTGGTCGACTCAGCCTTAAATGAGCACCTGGTGCGGTGTGTAGTAAACATCGCCACTGGGGAGACAAAGACGACCGGGCGTGGTGCTGCCCACCTTGCCGGCCTTCATAGGCGCTGCTACTCGTTGACAGCACTTGCCCCAAAAGTCTGTACGGGTGGATCTTTGTCTTTGGTGTGTGTATCTGTATGTCTGTGTGTGTATCTATGTTTGTGTCTGTGTGTCTGTGTGTGTGTGTCTGTATGTGTAACTGTATGTGTATCTGTGTTTGTGTCTGTCTGTGTGTCTGTGTGAGTGTATTTGTCTGTGTGTGCAATTGTGGTGACTCATTTCCCACCTTCCGACAAGCAAGCCAACATCGGGACTCAAGCTAAGTGAAAATAAAACCGACTTTGTCTATGCATGTTACTTAATTTTTTAAGTTTTACTTGACTGTACAGTTTTTTGTTATAGTATTACGTAGCAATGTACAATGTCCCTTATTATCTATGACTTTAACATAACACTGACCATGTGGGCATTGAAACAGCGGCACATTGCGTTCCGAACTTATGAACACTTCGACTTACAAACGGGCACCAGGAATTAATCAGGTTCATAACCTTAAGTATTCCCTCTTGCATTCCGACTAATGGACAGTTTTACTTACAAACAGTTGGACGTACGAACGGGCCTCAGGAATGAATTATGCTCGTTACCCAATGACTGCCCTCTTGTGTTCCGACTTATGAACAGTTCCACTTACGAACGGGCCCCAGGAACGAATGATGCTCGCAACCCGAGGGCTGGCCTTTTGTGTCCCGACTTATGAACAGTTCGACTTACGAACGGGCCCCAGGAACGAATGAGGCTCGCAACCCGAGGACTGGCCTCTTGTGTGTCCCGACTTATGAACAGTTCGACTTACGAACGGGCCCCAGGAACGAATGAGGCTCGCAACCCGAGGACTGGCCTCTTGTGTTCCGACTTATGAACAGTTCGACTTACGAACGGGCCCCAGGAACGAATGATGCTCGCAACCCGAGGACTGCCCTTATGTATCCCGACTTATGAACAGTTCGACTTACGAACGGGCACCAGGAACGAATGATGCTCGCAACCCGAGGGCTGGCCTTTTGTGTCCCGACTTATGAACAGTTCGACTTACCAACGGGCCCCAGGAACGAATGAGGCTCGCAACCCGAGGACTGGCCTCTTGTGTGTCCCGACTTATGAACAGTTCGACTTACGAACGGGCCCCAGGAACGAATGAGGCTCACAACCCGAGGACTGGCCTCTTGTGTTCCGACTTATGAACAGTTCGACTTACGAACGGGCCCCAGGAACGAATGATGCTCGCAACCCGAGGACTGGCCTCTTGTGTCCCGACTTATGAACAGTTCGACTTACGAACGGGCACCAGGAACGAATGAGGCTCGCAACCCGAGGACTGGCCTCTTGTGTGTTCCGACTTATGAACAGTTCGACTTACGAACGGGCCCCAGGAACGAATGAGGCTCGCAACCCGAGGACTGGCCTCATGTGCCCCGACTTATGAACAGTTCGACTTACAAACGGGCCCCAGGAACGAATGATGCTCGCAACCCGAGGACTGCCCTTATGTGTCCCGACTTATGAACAGTTCGACTTACAAACGGGCCCCAGGAACGAATGATGCTCGCAACCCGAGGACTGCCCTTATGTGTCCCGACTTATGAACAGTTCGACTTACGAACGGGCACCAGGAACGAATGATGCTCGCAACCCGAGGACTGGCCTCTTGTGTGTCCCGACTTATGAACAGTTCGACTTACGAACGGGCCCCAGGAACGAATGAGGCTCGCAACCCGAGGACTGGCCTCTTGTGTGTCCCGACTTATGAACAGTTCGACTTACGAACGGGCCCCAGGAACGAATGAGGCTCGCAACCCGAGGACTGGCCTCTTGTGTGTCCCGACTTATGAACAGTTCGACTTACGAACGGGCCCCAGGAACGGATGATGCTCGCAACCCGAGGACTGGCCTGTACATATGTACGTACAGAATCTTGAGAAGGAGTCTCGAGACTGCTGCGTTTAAACGAGCCCATTCTCACAAACTAGCTTCGAAGCTTTGTGTTGCAATCGAAACGTCGCGCTCTGTTACTTAATTCTTATTTTTATCTACGTGACTTTACCGAAAGAAGCAAAGAGTGAGCTCATTCTCCTCCGTCAGCACTTCCAGCTGCTCTTTCATTACCAATCGCGTCCGCCACCTCCTAATGAGACGTAATTACTCTTTGGCTCTTTCGGTGAAGCCACGTAGAAAGGAAATTAATTAAATAATAGAGTACGACGTTTCGATTGCAACACAAGCGGCCGTCATCAGGTAGAACTGAATTTGAGAGACAAATCACAGACACGGAGACACACAGGCAGACACACACGCCCTCTATGTCTATGTGTGTGTCTCTCTCTGTGTGTCTCTGTGTGTCTCTGTGTGAGTCTCTCTCTGCTTGTGTGTCTGCCTGTGTGTCTCCGTGTCTGTGTTATGTCTCTCTCTCTCAAATTTAGTTCTGCCTGATGACGGTTGCTCGTGTTGCAATCGAAACGTCGTACTCTATTATTCCATTTATTTTCTATCTACGTGGCTTCACGGAAAGAACCAAAGAGTAATTTCTGCAGTCACGAAAGCTTCAAATCAAGACCTAATAAGTCGTACCATCTCCTCGTCGGGGCTCTGCTTGGATGCAGGTACATCTGAAGAGCTGCAAATGATACAACTAGAAACCAACATCACCACCATACCATCGCCGATCCTCATCTGGCACTCACCACCACCTCACCCAAGTACATCTGATCTTCATCCATCACCCACCATCAGAAGAACCACCACCACCACCAACGCTGCAACCAGTATCTCTGATCTTCATCCATCACCCACCACCACCATCACCACCTGACCCAGAATCTCTGATTATCATCCGTCACCCACCACCACCACCACCACCATTGCCTCACCACTTATCTCTGATTTTCATCCATCACCCACCATTGGCATTGCCACCACCATCTCCGTCACCCACCACCACCACCAGCACTCGAAGCACTCCGTCATCTCCACCGCCACCATCACCATGGAGTGGAACTCATCATCGTCGCCGCCGTGGTCGTCAGAGGCGCCCGGCCCCGGCACGCTCATCGTGATCGCCGGCCTGCTGCGAGAGCCGGCCGGCACGCGGCCGCTCGTCTTCACCGTCGTCCTCCTCCTCTTCGCGGTGGCGCTCGTCGGCAACCTGCTGCTGTGCGCAGCCATCTACCGCGACCCGCGCCTCCACAGGCCCATGTTCATCCTGCTCGCCAACCTGGCCATCAGCGACGTCGTCGGCTGCTCCGCCACGCTGCCGCGCATCATGCGCGACCTGGCGGCGCCCAACCTCATCACGGTGGGCGAGTGCGTCGCCCAGATGCTCGCCATCCACTTCTACCGCGCCCTCGAGTGCTTCGTGCTCTCGGCGATGGCCCTCGACCGCTACGCGGCCGTCTGCAGGCCCCTGCGCTACCACGGCGTGGCCACCAACGGGCGGGCCCTCGCCGTGGCCGCGGCGGCCGCGGCCGCCGCGGCCGCGGCCGTCGCCCCGCTGTTGGCGCTCGCCCTTCGCCTGCAGCTGACCGACTGCCCGCGTCCCAAGCTGGTGCCGTCCGCCCACTGCGACAACATCGCGCTGGTCAACATGGCCTGCAGCGACGGCGGCGTCAACAACGCGTATGGGGTGGCGCTCACCGCCCTCACCGTGGGCTCGTCGCTCGCCGCCGTCGCCTTCTCCTACGCCTGCATCGTCCGCGAGTGCCTGGCGAGGCGCGGCCGCGGCGACCCGTCTTCGAGCGGCGCCGCCGCCTTCGGAAAGTCCGCTAGGAGCGCCTCCACAGTCGGTCCCAGCAGAAGCACCACCACCACCACCAACACCACCAACAAAAACACCGCCACCGAGAACACCTCCACAGTCGGTCCCAACACCACCACCACCACCACCCGTAGGAACACCTCCACAATCTGTCCCAGCGCCACCAACACCACCACCACCACCGGAAACACCTCCGCAGTCGGTCCCAGCACCTCCAACACCACCAACACCACCAACACCACCGCCAGAAGCACATCCGCGGTCGGTTCCAGCACTACCGCCGCTGCCGCCACCACCGCCACCACGGGTGGCTCCCCCGCCGTCGCGCCCAAGACCCCCGTCGCCGTCCCAGGCGGCACCGCCAGTGCCCCCGTCGCTGGCAAGGGCAGCAGTGGGCAGCACAGCAGGGCGGTGAGCACGTGCGTCACCCACCTGCTGGTGCTCGCCGTCTTCTACGCTCCGCTCCTCTTCGCGGTCGTCTACAACCGCGTGGACAAGCTCTTCCCAATGCCCGACACGACCCGCTCGGCCCTCACGTGCCTCTTCTACACGGCGCCGCCCGCGCTCAACCCCGTCATCTATGGCCTGCGCACGGGCGCCATCAGGCGCGCCGTGGTCGCGATGGTGCCGCGCCACCGGACGGTGAAGGGTTCCCAGAGCTCCACCCTGAGCCTGGTCCCCAGATCTGTGTAATGATCGCGATGGTGGCGGTGGTGGTGGTGGTGATGACAATGGTGGTGGTGGTGGTGATGTTGGTGATGATGATGATGATGATAATGGTGGTGGTGATGTTGGTGATGATGATGATGGTGGTGGTAGTGATGATGGTGGCTGTGGTGGTGATGTTGATGATGATGACGGTGGTGGTGATGTTGGTGACGATGATGGTGGTGGTGGTGGTGGTGATGATGGTTGTGGTGGTGATGATGATGATGCAGTTGATGATGTTGATCATTGTGATGATGATGGTGATGATGATGGTGGTCATGATGATGATGGTGGCTTTGACGGTGATCTGTCTTTTCATCCATCTGTCTGCCTGCACGCCCATCTCTCTCTCTCTCTCTATTGGTGGTGACACTTGCCTGGGTGTTTTGTGCCAGCAAAGAGTTGTGGAGAGAGTGGAGAGTTTCCCATACCTGGGCAGTGTGCTCATGACCGGCTCCGGTTGGACAGCAGAGGTCTCACTACGAATCAGTCGAGCGGCATTATCTTTTCATCGGTTGCTTAACGCTGTGTGGAAGCTACCTGGTCTGTCGCTCCGCACGAAGCTTCAGTCATGCCCTCCCATCTCGACGCTTGTGAAACGTGGACCCGTCTAATTGAAACATCTGTGCTGGTTAGAAACATTCGGGCTGGCATGTCTACGATCCACCCTAAGTTTAACCAGGCTGGATTGTGTGAGGAACTTACAAATCCTTGAGAGATCTGGACACATTCGCATCAGTCAGTTGTTTCCGCAGGCAAGGCTGCATTGGCTGGGTCATGCATTCCGCATGCCCAGCCACCGCATGCCTAAACAGGTTCTGTTTGGCTGCATAGAGGGGACTAAATGGGCACAACAGGGGCTGGCAAAGAGATGGAACTGATGCGGGAAGATGTGGAGCCGAGTGGACATGCCGACGACCGGTACCCGCGGTGTCAAGATCGGCCTCTGTGAAGGAAGCTCGTGAACGATGCTGCTACTTGACAGTTGGAGGCAGTCGCCCTCCAGCAACAACACAGGGCAGAGGAGCGACGCTCACAACAACCAGCGGAGCGCCGGGCGGCCAAAACGCAGCAAGTTGACACAGTAGAGGGGGTACAGCTGATGGTGCATCTACCGGTCATCTCAGTCAGTCAACCCATGGCACCTGCTGGGTCTATCCCCGAGACCTCCTCCGGTCAGCGAGCCGTCCATAAGTTCAAGTGGGCTCAAAGTGCACCTGACCTGAGACAGGCACCGTGGTGATGTCACCGTCAGTTAGTGGCGAATGGCGTGGATTGGTATTGGTTGGTAGTGTTGGTGGGGATTACGATAATGACGGTGATGATGATGGTTGTGGTGACGATGGGGGAGGTTGGTGCTAGCGATGGGTCCATATGCGTATTTTTTTTGCTGATCAAAATATATTCCGATCCTGAATAAAGTTCAACACGCACAGAGTACGGGTGGCTACGTGCGGTGAGAAAGAATATTCAACGTACAGGACGCCACGTAAAGAAGCCCCCTTTAAGACGCCCATTATAAAGAGGTGACGTTTTTTTATCTCCTCAAGTAAAAACATTTTTAGACACAGCTCCGGCGAACAGTCCCGCCCTGATGTCTTCCACCGTGTCGCTCCACGAACGGTCAGCCACGATGTCTCCCACCTTGTAGATGACAGGATGTGACGCGTGACCTGAGCCCCTCATTGGCACCCTGCGAGACGCAGAGAGAGCAACGTGGAACGCGACACGTGACGACCCGTTGAAGTTGGACACACACCCACCCACCCACTGCTACCGCGGCTAGGGAGGTGGTGGTGTGTGTGTGTGTGGGGGGGTGGTGTCTACGCATGGGATCGCGACGACGACGATGATGACGACGATGGAACAAAAAACAGAGCGGCACCGAGGGATGTTTTTAATCGGCCCGGGAATTGTCGTCTTCATACCACGTGGGGGTTTCCGCCTGGCCGGTGGGCCGGACGTGACGCCGTTACGATCTCAGTGACGCTCATAACGACCACACCCCCCCTCCCCTCGAGTTCCACACCCACGTCACACACGAACACACGCAAGCATTCACATGGACACACACACACGCACACAAGCAACCATTCAAGCGCACAAATAACGCAACCGATCACACACACACGCACGCACGCGTGTGCTCACGCAATTCATCTCAAAGACCGCGCCACCACGGATAGCCTCTAACAGACTGTCGGGGCAAGTGCTGTTAGTAGCGAGTAGCAGCAGCGCCTATACACAGACAAAGATCCCCCGTGTAGCCTCTAACAGACTGCTGGGGCAAGTGCTGTTAGCGAGTTACAGCAGCGCCTATACACAGACAAAGATCCCCCGTGTAGCCTCTAACAGACTGCTGGGGCAAGTGCTGTTAGTAGCGAGGAGCAGCAGCGCCTATACACAGACAAAGATCCCCCGTGTAGCCTCTAACAGACTGCAGGGGCAAGTGCTGTTAGTAGCGAGTAGCAGCAGCGCCTATAAACAGACAAAGATCCCCCGTGTAGCCTCTAACAGACTGCTAGGGCAAGTGCTGTTCGTAGCGAGTAGCAGCAGCGCCTATACACAGACAAAGATCCCCCGTGAAGCCTCTAAGAGACTTTTGGGGCAAGTGCTGTTAGTAGCGAGTAGCAGCACAGCCTATACACAGACAAAGATCCCCCGTGTAGCCTCTAACAGACTTCTGGGGTAAGTGCTGTTCGTAGCGAGTAGCAGCAGCGCCTATACACAGACAAAGATCCCCCGTGTAGCCTCTATCAGACTGTAGGGGCAAGTGCTGTTAGTGGCAGCAGTGCCTATACACAGACAAAGGTCCCCCGTGTAGCCTCTAACAGACTGTTGGGGCAAGTGCTGTTAGTAGCGAGTAGCAGCGCCTATACACAGACAAAGATCCCCCGTGTAGCCTATAACAGACTGTAGGGGCAAGTGCTGTTAGTAGCAGCAGCGCCTATACACAGACAAAGGTCCCCCGTGTAGCCTCTAACAGACTGTTGGGGCAAGTGCTGTTAGCGAGTAGCAGCAGCGCCTATACACAGACAAAGATCCCCCGTGTAGCCTCTAACAGACTGCAGGGGCAAGTGCTGTTAGTAGCGAGTAGCAGCAGCGCCTATACACAGACAAAGATCCCCCGTGTAGCCTCTAACAGACTGCTGGGGCAAGTGCTGTCAGTAGCGAGTAGCAGCAGCGCCTATACACAGACAAAGATCCCCCGTGTAGCCTCTATCAGACTGTAGGGGCAAGTGCTGTTAGTGGCAGCAGTGCCTATACACAGACAAAGGTCCCCCGTGTAGCCTCTAACAGACTGTTGGGGCAAGTGCTGTTAGTAGCGAGTAGCAGCGCTTATACACAGACAAAGATCCCCCGTGTAGCCTATAACAGACTGTAGGGGCAAGTGCTGTTAGTAGCAGCAGCGCCTATACACAGACAAAGGTCCCCCGTGTAGCCTCTAACAGACTGTTGGGGCAAGTGCTGTTAGCGAGTAGCAGCAGCGCCTATACACAGACAAAGATCCCCCGTGTAGCCTCTAACAGACTGCAGGGGCAAGTGCTGTTAGTAGCGAGTAGCAGCAGCGCCTATACACAGACAAAGATCCCCCGTGTAGCCTCTAACAGACTGCTGGGGCAAGTGCTGTCAGTAGCGAGTAGCAGCAGCGCCTATACACAGACAAAGATCCCCCGTGTAGCCTCTAACAGACTGTGGGGGCAAGTGCTGTTAGTAGCGAGTAGCAGCAGCGCCTATACACAGACAAAGATCCCCCGTGTAGCCTCTAACAGACTGCTGGGGCAAGTGCTGTTCGTAGCGAGTAGCAGCAGCGCCTATACACAGACAAAGATCCCCCGTGTAGCCTCTATCAGACTGTAGGGGCAAGTGCTGTTAGTGGCAGCAGCGCCTATACACAGACAAAGGTCCCCCGTGTAGCCTCTAACAGACTGTTGGGGCAAGTGCTGTTAGTAGCGAGTAGCAGCGCTTATACACATACAAAGATCCCCCGTGTAGCCTCTAACAGACTGTAGGGGCAAGTGCTGTTAGTAGCAGCAGCGCCTATACACAGACAAAGATCCCCCGTGTAGCTTCTAACAGACTGCTGGGGCAAGTGATGTTAGTAGCGAGTAGCACCAGCAGAACCTATGAAGGCCGGCGCTGTGGCACACGAGGTTGGGGGGGTGTTCAGCACCACCACGCCCGGCCGCCTTTGTCTCCCCTAGTGACGATGTCTACTGCACCACCGCACCAGCAACGCGTTTGAGACCGAGTCGACCTAGGGGAGTCCCAGCACCGGGTTCAGGTAGTCGTCACCTGGTCGCCTCGTCGGCCCCATGAGCGTGAATCGAATACCTCGGCTCGACGGGGTTCATAGCGCAGCGCGCTAACCGCTGCACCACCGCTCTCCCCCCTCCCCCCCATCATACACACACCCCCACCCTTCACCCCCACCCCTCACCCCTCACCCCCACCCCTCACCCAAACCCCTTCCCCCCGCCCAAGGGTCCAGAGCCCCCAAACGGGTGTGTTTGTTGTAGAATGGGAAGGGGGGCGCTTATAAGACGGCGTCTCTTCCTGCTATTGCTGCTGCTGCTTCTGCTGCCACAGCTGTTGCTGGTCCGTGGTGAGACCCTCTGTTCCACGCAACCTTTCCCTCTCCGTTACAGCAAGCTTTGTCTCTATGTTCCAGTCAACTTGTGTCTCTCTGTTCCACACGCGACTTAATGTCTCTCTGTTCCACGCAACCTGTGACTCTCCACTACATCAACATTTGTCTCTATGTTCCAGTCAACTTGTGTCTCTCTGTTCCACGCAACCTGTGCCTCTCCATTACATCAACAGTTGTCTCTATGTTCCACGCAACTTGTGTCTCTCTGTTCCACACACAAATTGTGTCAATCTGTTCCGAACAAGCTTTGCCATTATGTTGCTGCCACAGCTGTTGCTGGTCCACGTAGAGACACTTCTCTCGGTCGCACCGCAAAACGCCGTCTCTTTTGTTCTACACGACCTCTCCGTTACAGCAACCGTTGT